AAAGCCTTAGAAAGGTCCAGGAAAATACCCAGACAATTCCTGCCTTCGTCGAGTTCGGTGACTACATGCTCTACCAGGGAAGCAACAGCATCCTGGGTAGACCTGCCCCTTCTAAAGCCAAATTGATTTTTGGAGATTAAGCTATTTGATTCAAGAAAGCGAACCAGATAGCGATTTAGGATACGCTCAAATACTTTAGACAGAGCGGGCAGGACAGAAATTGGGCGGTAATTTGTGACATTGCGTCTGTCCCCACTTTTATAAATGGGATGTACAATTGCCCTTTTCAGGGCGACAGGAAACTTCCCAGTGGATATCGCCAAGTTACATAGGTGAGTAATTATAGGTGTAAGAACTGGGTTTGATTTAAAAGTTTGGGCTGGTATGCCATCCCACCCGACAGCACTGTCATTTCTTAGGCTCATAATAGCATCATGTACTTCATCTTCATCGATTTCGAGGATGACCATAGAATGTGAAGGAGAGTGCAAGAAGTTAGGTAGTGAGTCAATAGATTCTAAATTTGATTTAGTTTTATTTGCAAGTTCTTTCCCTATATTTGCAAAGAATGAATTTACGGCATCAACTGATATTTTAGCATCATCGCATAAATTTAAAAGTTCTAATGGTGGTACACTTACTTTATTTGTATTTGTAACGTTTTTAATAATTTCCCAGGTTTTTTTAGGACTTTTCTTAGCCTTGGAAAGTTCAGATCTCTCGTAGTCTCTCTTGAGATTTTTTACAAGATTAGTACAAAAATTCCTGTAGCGTTTGTAAGTTTTTTCCAGTATCACGTTATTTGGGTTACGTTTGACATTTTTATGCATGCGGTCTCTGTTTCTAATGCACCTCAATACTCCTACAGTTATCCAGGGCTTTATTGTTCGTTGTCTGCATGGAATTGTAAAACAAATGGTATTTCTTTTCACTATAGGGATTAACGTGTCTAGGAACAGATCGGTCGCCTTATTAACGTCGTCGAACGAAAAAATTATAGAAAAGTCTGTGTTATTTATTTCATGTGCCACTTGAGGAAAATTGATTTTATTGCCAATTCGGCTTGTCGGACGGTTAACAGGACTTAGATTAAAATTTACATTTAAGAGGACTGGAAAATGGTCAGTTAAAGATATTTCTATCACAAGAGTTAAGAATCGAAGCCTTGTTTTTAAAATGACGTGGTCTAAACAGTTATCCAATCTGGTCGGAATCTGATGTGCTGGTAACATTCCATGAGAAGCCATAAGATTTAAATAATCATTTGAGTTTGGGTCGCAATTATTTACTTTAATATCTATGTTAATGTCGCCTATTATAATGATATTATTTATTGCTGATAAATTATTTAACGTAGTATTTAGGCTGTCCATAAAATTATCGGTGTTTCGGAAGGAAGGTGATCTATATAAACCTACTATAGCTACACTTTTATTTACTGTGCAGATTAGACAGCTTGCGTCATTAAAGTTAGGTTGATATACTGTGTGTGTAATGAAGTTCTTAATGTAGATCACCAACCCATCGTTCTGGTTGCAGATGGATTTCGTGCTATATGATAAATAGCCCTCAAGCTGCGGTATGGTAGATATTTTAGACAACCAGCATTCAGAAAGAATCAAAATATCGCAGGTGATATTTAGAGCATATAATTGCAAACGGAATTCGTTAAAATTTTTATTTATGCTTCTAATGTTGACATGCAGAAGAGACAAAGATTTTGAATTGTTATTTATGTACTTTTGGCAATTCAGCGGTTCACATTTAATAGCTTGTGAGATAGATATATCTTCTATTTCATTATTTAGAATATCATTAGCCATTTATGAAAAGTTTTGGACTATTGAGCATGGGAAACATATAGTTTTGAGCTCTTTAACATGCATTATATAGGTAGTAGTAGGCTTTAAAAATATCTCAGTTATAAATAATGGATCATATGAGTATGTTATGTGGTGCTTATGATTGAGTGCGAGTGTGTGTGTAAGAAGATGTAATTGTGATTGTGAGAGCGAGTGTAAGAATATTGTATTGGATTGTAATGGATTTATGTATATGGTATTTAGGTTATAAATATAAATTGAGAAACTCACAAGGAAGACATTAAAGAAATGATGATTTAAACAACAGTTTAGGTATAATACAGCAAAATTACAAAAATAAACTGTTTTCCGGGCACCCGTCGCAAATCCCTGAGGTCTGCACGAGTTATATTTTCGCCGATTATTTTTCCAATTCCAGTAACGACAGATACTAGGTCGTCAAGTGTTTCATTGTCTTTAACGTGGACATTTCTGATCTCTATAGTGGAGCTACGGGAACAAAATTGTTGATCTTTGGTGGTATTTTCAAGTGCCTTGACTTTCTCCGTTAGGTAAGAATTTCCCTTTTCCAGGTCGAGGACCTTTTTTGACATATCATCATATTGTGCACTAACGAATTTTACCGATTTTTCTACCTCAAGGAAGGATTTCTTCAATTCAGAGTTTTGTGTTTTCAGCTCATTTAGCTCGGACACCAATTTGTTCAAAATGGTAGACTGTTGTTGTTCTATTTTTTCAGATAATGTACGTGTTTGAATTTTGTTCCAAGAGGCGAACATAGCTTCGATTTCTCGTTTTAGTTCTTCCTTAAAATTTTGTAATTCATTGATGGGGGAAGCTTCACTCCTTGGGCGCTTATTACGTGGATTCACATTAATGTTCTCCTTAGCCGTATTGCTCATCACAGCAATATTTGGATCTGATTGGGATTGCATTAACATAGTCGGTGTAGTGGGCGGTGTACGCAGAGTCTTGGACATAATGATGTAGGTACACTGGCTAAAATGTCACTCAACAGCTCAACACTGTGCTCGAACACAATAAAAACATAAAACCAATCGTACGAGACACGGAGTTGTCACGTTAAAGTCCATAAGCGTGAGATCAATGACGTTGGACAATCCGCGGCAACGATGATCAGCGACCGTAGACACGATATGAGCGTATATTACTCGTAAGGCAGGGGTCTATAACACTGGTCTTGGATGCGCAACTTGCAAGGACACGACTGTTCACTACGGCGTACCGAGCCGAACTCTGGAATAAATACCATTAATAAGAACTTAACTTATTTTAAAGTTAAAGGAGTTATAATCGATTAGTCTATGTTTTAAAATTGGGTTTTGATTTTAAATTTTAGCAAAATATGTACTTGCATTTCTATCAGACATTTGATGTATATAAAAAACACCTTATAATTTATTTGGTAATTTAATTATTTTTTGAGAAAGATAAATACAATAGCAATAAATATAATTAACACTAACTTAATAATAGGTACTAATTATAACTTAGAACAGAAATGAAAAACTCATGACGAGCAAAGTGGCTCAGGACCATGCTTTGCGGCAGTCTGTGGAGGTGGTTGTTCAGTAGTGGACTTGTTAACAGCTGTAATGATGATGATGATTCGAAATCTTGCACTATTAAATTATAAGCAGTCGACGTTTTTTTATAGAATAGGGTGACAAACGAGCACACAGTTCACCTGATGGTAAATGGTTGCTGTGGGCCATAGACATCTACGTCTATCCTCGATTACGAATCAAAATGCAGATGCATTGTCACCCGTGAGGACTAAGATGAAATGCCTCGTTTCCTTTAAAAAGGGTCTCTGGTTCTCTACACTCACTATACGAAACACAGCATCATTAAGCTACTATTTTACGCTGATATTCTGTGAGAGCGTGGTCCTTCCCCGGTCGAGCCGACCTTCGTGCTGCAACTATACTTCTAATATAATTGCATGGTTCTACCACGTATAAACGACATGCTTCATTTTTTTTCATTTTAAAATTGTTCTCGTAATAATCTGATTGTAAAAAAACGTTAATTATTTTTTAATAAATAGCTTATTGATTAAAACAAATGTTCAATAATAATTAAATCGCGCTAATTAAAGTAGTAGGAATGTTTAAAGTTGAAATTGGCACTAAAAGGCTGGTAATTGGGGCATCCACCCTACAAATCTTGAATATAAAATTTAAATCAGATGCGTGTAATCACTCTGGGAGCTTGTAGCAAACTAAACGCGCGGCCAACGTGTGGACGCGGCGACCAAACTCTGCCAACAATCCTTTGATCTTTTGTAAAAAACCGACACCACACGGATCTCGCGCCAACTTGCGGGCCATCGTTCCAATACATACCAATGAAGCCCAAACACCCCGTCTACACGTTGGCCAATGCTATTGGCCACTACATTCGCCACTTTGGCCAACGTGTAGAGGCGCCGTTATAGGATAACTCGGTTTTTTTTTTTCGATAAGTTGTAAAACAGATAAAGGAGTCTTTGATGAAACAAAAACTTTTTTTTATTCAATATAGATTATAAATAATACTTATTGAAAGTCACATTTTTATTCATAAACGTCTGTCCTGTGAAGAACCAGCAAGAAACCAAGGGGGACTTTAAAAAAACAGCTTATAATCCTAGTGAATCTCCTTAATATAGACTATTTTTTAGTCTAGCAAGGAGAACAGAACGTCACCCTCGCTAGTGTTTTTCACCTAATTTTATAGCTATCTCATGTAAGATATTTATATGCATGTACTACAAGTTAAAGTTTTTTAATAAATTATTATTAAATAAATTATAAATTATTATAATCATATATGTTACTATCATCCATAATGATGATATCTTAAATCTAAATAACGCCACATTAACTAATAAAATAAATAAAAACTGGGACAGGTCGCTAGTTTAATGTAAACAGATTAATAAGCATTCCACGCAAGTGTTTGTGGTTTTAAATATGATTTTAGTTAAATTATTATCGCTACATTAGGGTGTTTGCATATTATATTGAATGGAAAATTTAATATATCTACAAAATTAATAATACGAGTATATATTTAAAAATGAGTGATTAAAAAATAAAAGAAATAGAACTGAAAATGATATGATAATTGAAATAATTAAATGATATTATAAATTGAAAATGGTTTTGCCAGGAAATTGATGCTTGTGGCTGTGACAATGTATCGGAGGAAGTGGTGACTGCAGCCGTGGAGGAACTTGGTGCCCATCCGAGACCTCTTGTGTTGAGTCTTGCAGCGACTGCGGCAGCGAATGTAAAGGTAATATAGAGGTCGACTTAAAAGCACAGGGGCAGAGCATTTAAATAAATGTAAGCGACAGTAGCCTAATGGCAGGGCGCGGACCGCGAACTCAAAAGGTCGTGGGTTCGAATCTGCCATTCGACTACTGGTGTGAACCACTCGTAACACAAGCAATTTGAGCTTACCACGAGCGGTTAAGGGGAATATTAGTAATGTTTATAGCATTTTTAATATTCTTTTAAAAAGTATGAAATGAAAAGTATAAAAAGGCACCATTGAGGGTCGCAGGTCCTAAACCAGTATTTGTATGGTCTACAAGTAATTGTTACGGGTCTTGAAGTTTATCCTTGTGCAATTTAGGTACGTAAAACTCCTGCACAATACAGAAGTAATTCCTAGTGGGGTTGAGTTATTTAAAAAAAAACAGTCTGTTTTAACTTTGTTTTTGTGTTTAAATATTGACTTATTTCTCTAAATTTTTAACTTTTGTACTTGAAAATATTAAAAAAATATTGATTTAATAACATATATTTTAGTATATATAATTATATATAGATAATATGTATATTTTTTTTAAACAACTTTCATCATTCTTGATAAAACATCTTTCAAAATGTAAATTTAATTATAATACCTGGTAATGGTTTTGATATCTTTCGTCGCACTATACTTAACTCATTCATGTTCAGACTCTGTTTAAAGTCCACTCAAAGGCATAGTTTGCTCAAACTTACCACACTAGACAAATGGTTATAAATTTTTAAAAGAATTCAACTTTGGTCACAGGAGCTTCCAGCGCATAAGTTGCTAACTGTGAACACCAATGAAGACCGCAGTAACCCACACTTGCGCCCCGACTTTGTAGATGACATATTCGAAGACAGCTCCGACGATTCTTTCGAGGATCTCTACGACCCTGATGATTTCGACGATTTCCTAGGAGGAGGTAATTTTGATCCCTTTTTGTTGTCTTTATATTGTGCTTATCACTTAGCAGTTTAAGGAGATTATATTAAAATAATTTGGTACCGTATGTATAGCTACATAAGTTTATAAATAAATAATAATTTAAATAGAAAACAAATGGATATTTATACAATATTGTTTAAATTAAAGGAAAGAAAAACAAAATAAGCGATCGGTGCCCTCCGACTAACTAAAGTAAACTCGGAATTATTATCACTTATGATTTAAATCTCAGCATTACCTCTTTATTACCTACAGTAGAGATAGCAGAATTATCGTCATACTCGTATTTATTCCTTCAATATTATAACAGACAAAATTGGTATTGTAATTACAAAAAGAGACGTGTTTGTATTAAACATAAAGTTAAAATAAGCTTTTAAGCTCCATGTTTTGTTTGTTTATGCAAGTAGAGCTTAAAATTAATTTCATTTGACCCCAAAGCATTGAAGAGTAGTTCAAAATGTATCATGGAATATGAAATTTTAAATAAAAAATATCCACCAAAAACCATTAAATAGTGATTTGAAAAATTTCCGACACTCATGTTATGTGTACCATAAGTTTTCTATCCTCGGACCAATGATACTTGGTCCTAGGTTTGTGGTAAAATAAAAATAGTATGTACCAGACGAAGCAGTTGATAAAAGCATTGTGAATGAAAACTATTATTTCTGTTTTATTTTATTTAATGGAAATTGAAAATATTATTTACATATTTTATATTTAAAAAACATTCAGTTCATTGATTTTTTTTGATACTTACCGCCCATATTGTTAATACTACTTAGTATTATGTTAGTGCAATAAAATAAATAGGTTTGTAAATAGGTGGTATTATTGAAGAATTCCACCCGCAGATCTTAGAAATTACTCTAGTATCAAGCTCAAAAACGGGATAGCGGCGAAGTGTATCAATGTTACAATCAACACATAGCAATCGCACGCCCAGTTGTCTTTGTTGTGTAGTAATTATCCAGAATGCAAAATCGGTGTCCAGAAATCAATAGCACAGAATAATCGTTAACAAGTAGTAGTTATCAATCCGTAAAACACTGCCGAGGTCAACACAACAGAAGGAAATCCAAAATAGTACAGTACGTATCACAATCCACAACAATGAGTGAAACGAATAAGATGATGCGAATGATCGCCGGATGTCAAATGTCGATCGATGACGCGGATCGATGACCACAGATTAATCGATGAGAAATGACGTTCCGTTGTTCGTAATTGACAAAACGTTTAGCTTACTATGACCTACAATTATTTTTATGGCAAGAATCCAGTACATAATAAATCAGCATAGTAGTTGATTTGATGTCCACATACTAATTGAATTGAATTAAAATTAATAACTATTCAGAAAAACGTGAATATTTATAGTCTTTGAATACCAAGTCCTTTCATACACGAAATACAATATAATAATAAAATTTATTTCAGCAAATAGAATTGGTTTACAAACATTAGTGGCCGGATTCTCCTTTTAAGCAAATAATGCCTGTACCAGGTGAATCCGCTCTTCCATATCAATATCTACGTGCGTGCGTGCGAATGCGTGCGTGCGCGTGCGCGCGCGTGTCTGTATGTGTGTGTGTGTGTGTGTGTGTGTGTGTGTGTGTGTGTGTGTGTGTGTGTTAGTGAGTGTGTATGTGTGTGTACTATTTTACTGTATGCAAAAGCAACTCGAGTGTTCTCAAAATTAAGTGACTAACCAATTATGTACTAACTTTTTACATTCGATATATTGTTTCGAATAAATATCTAGTTCTTTATTGATTTTATTATAAATTTGAGACGAACGACTATTATATTGAGTATTCGCAAACTTAGTTTTAGTTTGGGGTACTGTAGCTACATTATTTTTTCTTCTTTTTCCTTTTTTTACTTGCATCGTAGGGTATATTTTTGTGTTTATTTAGTGTGATCTGCTTTATATACAGCTTCATAACCGAAAGTAACCCACTATAGAGATAAAGCCTTTCCGTGGGATATCTAATATTTTTAAAGTACATATCTTTAATAAGCGCACGTTGTGCTCTCTCAACCTCTATAAACTTGTTTTTTGCCGCACCTCCCCAAACAGGAATGCAATATTCCAAGACAGATTGAACCAATGCGATATATATCTCTTTCAAAATTGTTCTGGATGTTTCTCGGTAATATTATTTCCTGGAACCACATGCCTTAACGATCGAAAGACCCAAATCAACTTTCTAACTCTTCCGGCAACTTGCTCAAGTTGTGGGTACCAGGACAGTCTCTGATCCAATATGACGCCCAGGTACTTAGTATGGGTAACTTTATTAATGATCGGGCAGTTGCAGTTTGCATCCTGGGTATTACTACAATCATGAACCCTTATCTAAATCTGTCAGCAGGTTGATTTTTATTTAAGATACTCAAACATATGTAGTTTTATTTGTGTTTAGAGAGAGCAAGTTGCATTTTAACCAAGTAACTATTTGGGCCATTCCTTTTTCTGCACTATTTTTCACAGCTTGCTAGAAGTTTCCAGAGAAGAGGGCTGCTGTATCACCGGCATAGGAGAAGATTTTAGCGTTATTCACTTTTAGGCTACAAAGGTCGTTGATATATACAAGAAATAAAGTAGGGCCCAAAACACTTCCCTGTGGAACTCCGTATGCTATTTCTGCATCGTCACTTTAGTACTGTTCCAATTTGACTCTCTGCTTCCTATTGGAAAGGTAGCTTTTAAACAGAGTTAATGGCGTTCCCCTTATACCAACCTTTTCCAATTTATTTACTAGGATTGGGACAGAGACGGTGTCGAAGGCTTTTTTGATATCAAGAAACACCGTTAAACATTTACTTTTATTATCAATTTCTTCAATTATTAGCGAGCTTAGGGAAATGAATTGTCATTCGGTGCGTTCTGAAACTATTATTTGAAAGAATTTCGAAACAGTTACAAAAACAAAAATAAATGGATGACTTCTTTTTTTGTGGCTACTTAGAGAGATATTTCTTGTGTTTTAAGACCTTAAGAAATAAGGGTATTTTTCATAAATATGGCATATTGGCACGTCATCGTTTCGTCGTCTGGTACGATTTGACCAACCTTCTTTGCATAAAACATGGCATCATTGGTTCGTTATACAGTTTAAATTTAAATAACTGTATGTCTGCAATTCTTTGTAAAACTTAATGAAAAAATGTGCCATCTTATTTTTCTGATTGAAAAGAATAGTAATTTACTTTTCAAGTATTTAATACTGTTAATGTTCAATAATTTTGTAAAGACGTACACAATTTTTCTTCATGTTATGCGCACGTGGAGTCTAGTACGTGTCATAACATCTTAACATTTTAATATGTATGTTTTATACATTTTTTTTTCAAAAGTAATATTATTATACACAGATGAAGATGACTTTTTCGACGATGATCATGATTTTGAAGATTATGAAGGCATGTATGGAATGGGACTTCACGCACCTGACATCCTGCTTTTGTGAGATTTACTTTGCCACCCTCTCACTACTCTTACAAAAATTGTTAACACATCCATATTTGCATTTTTGTTAAGCTTTTAGTTTTATGTAGAAGTTCTAATAAACAATGTCACGACAATGCAATGTTTTGTTAACTTTATTGTTAGAAACATTTAATTTTGTACCCCGATGATGTTGTATTTTTTTAAGACAGAATGGTCTCTGTCTAGCTATGCGCAAACATTAAAATGGGTATTTCATATTAATATTGCAAACAAAACAATGTAGGAAAATTGATGTGTATAGATTATAGTTGTTTGGAAGTAAGGTGATTGCTGTTTTATCTGCGATGGAGTGTTTATTGTAACACACTATGTTAATAATTAGTTTAGTAGTAATTATGTTGTTTACTTAATTAACTATCTATACATAATATATAAAAATAATTCACTCTGTAACTTTAAGTAAGTCTGAAATATTGTGATAAAGTTAAATTTTACAAACTCCTCATCAAATTTCTTCAACAGTTATTATTTTCGTGTAATAAAATTTAATAAATCAATGGTTTAAGTTACAAACCGTATAGATAAACTATAGATGTTGAGGAATTTGTCTTGATTTGCACAATCTTATAAAATTGTGTTGTTGCCATATTGTAGGTATATATCCATATGTGTGATGCTATATTTGTTACATTATATGCCTGCAATAGGATTAAAATATTCTGTGTTCATTGTGTATATAGTTTTATTTAGGCTCAGTTTGTAATGTAAGTGACCAAGGTTTGACCATCTCAATACCTTAATACAGGTCTACAGTTATTTAACAATGCAAACTTAAAGAAACATACAATATCAATCATAACTGAAAACAAGTTGCTTACTTGTTACCGATGACAAAACTTGGTGTCTCATTATGGTTCCTCTGAAGCTCTACAACAGTAGACGCATAAAACATTGAATCAGTTCATTTCTTGTAAAATTTGGTCATTACTAGTAAACTTTTCGTTTCGGTTTTTTATTTCGTTTAATTTGTTACATTGTTATAATAATGTTTTCCAAATAATACTTAGTCAGTTCATAAGTTCTGTGAAAAACTTTTTATAATATTAATGATACACTTTTTGATAATTATATAGAAATTATATATGAAATGTTTAATTTAGAATACATGCCCTTAATCGACGCGACCAATTATCAATCGCAGCATACACCACACTCATATCTATTTCTGCCGCTGCTTTAGCCAAAGATGCTCGGAGAGATTCCAAATTCTGATGAGGTTTAGCGCAGACTTTCTCCTCCAAATGTTGCCATATCAGATTTTTTGCTTACGAACAGTATTTCGTTGGATTCGCTCCTTCACTGCTTTGATGATCGCGGATGTCCTAACGGTACGAGGTCGGCCAGTCCTCTTACGATCTTCGAAACTTGAATCTGCAGTGAATCGTTTGATAGTACGATAAATAAATCGTAGGGTTGTTTTCAATTTTTGTAGAATATTGAAAACCTCTTTTGGCGCGTAACTACAGCGGTGCAATGCGATAACCGCTACTCAATTTTCTTTTTTCGACCACTCCATATCTGAAAATTAATGAAAATTAATGTCTTTTTTATTTTCGGCAAGCGCAAACGTTATTTTTTTAAAATTGGTGAAGTTCATCCAGGCAGTATTCAAAAATTTTAAATAATAAGGTTTTGACACAACTTATGACCCGACTAAGTATGTGATGCATTGTGATCAACCTTTCAGTTTTTATATTTACTAAAGAATGATTTTGCTTTGATAAATCAATGTTTATATATATATTTTTCTAAATATATTTTAACCTGTGGGAATTAATTTTTATTTCAGTGCCAATGTATGGAAAAACGTATTTTGTTAACTATGATTTTTATGAAGTTATATGTTTGGCCTAAATGCATAATTTAAGTTGATAAGTTTCTGTGAAAATGATTTTCCTGGGATCTTTCGTTTTTAATTTTTAGCACTATAACCAATTAAGAAGGAATAACATGATATGATTTAATTTGTCAGTTTTACTCTTATTGAGTTAGTTCACAAAAATAAACTTTTTTCCCCTGAGCATTCGTTATATTTTTAGAATTAGCCATATTTTGAATTGCAGAGATATTTTTTCTTTATTTTCGTTGTTTATTTTCGACTTACAACAAAATAGTGTTCGATGTTAACTGTTTATATAAAAATATACTGTCTATTTTCAGGGTTCACTTAGTGGTGATTTATGTTTTTAGATTTGAATTTTAGTATAGACTTCATGTATGAGTTGATTTGTGGAAAGTTCTTTGTTTTATATATTTAATTATTGTAACATCATTCGTAAGAAACAAAATATAAACACTCCACAAAAACTTTGTTTTTTTTTCTCATTAGAAAAGTACTACCTTAAATGCAGCCTTAAAAGCTGTGGCACGAATGGGGTGGCTTGGAATGGAGGGATATGCTCTCAAAGAATAAACATAAACAGAATTGAACAGCAGCTTAATGCTGCTGCTTGGTATGGTGAATGACGAGGACCGGAAACTTTCCTTAAAATCAATGGGGATCTAAGAGCCATAATATTTAATTACCAACATATGGGCTGTTTGTGTTGTATAAAAACTCTTTTTTTTTAAAATATCAACCTCATCCTCACCACCATGCTGTGCGTACTACTAATAAATACGGTTTTACAACTGACCGATGGCAGAAAGCTATCAAAAATAGTAAATGTATCACTGACTGGTGATGTGAATGGGAGCACGATGTAATATCTGCGCTCATCTGATCGCCTGCTCGGCAAGGCGAGCATCATCTTTGGAAGCATTCCAGCTTGTGAATTCTTGGAAAGGGGTATGTCCAGCAATAGACTTAAGAGGATTGATGATAAAATGATGATGAACATTTTATAAAATATTTTGCACTTAAGTTTACCAAAGTCCAATGAGTAGGAAAAAAATGGAGTAGGTAACTACAAAATAAAAAAAATATATAATTTTTAAAAGAATTTATTGTTAACCATTCATGAGTTTTCGTAAAGGAGAAAATCAATAAGCTACCAAAAATTATATCTATTTCAACAATACCTATAGGTACTAGAACTACTTAGAATTTTACAAACTTTAAATTATGTTAAGAATACTATACCACAAATCATTGGGTCAATTTGCTTTGGATGCCTATTCACAAGTTTTATGCTTTTTAGTCACAGTTTTAATAGAGAGTCTGTTGAAAACTTGGAACTTATTGGTGTGTTCCGAAATACACCGGGACAACTATAATGTGTGCTGTCAATGCAGTATACAGTGAAGCCGTTCCTTTTAAGTTTGCTAAACTTGTTACTGCTTAAAACTGAACGTGGTCCAGTATAAGTACTGTCATCCCATTTTTCGACACAGTCTTCAAATGAAAATATTTATCATGTACACGTTTTTTGTGCAACAACAAAAAATACTATTTGAATGTTGTTTCTTTTAAAACTTAATGCTGAGTATTTTGAGTTATTTGAATAGGTAGCAATATTAATTATTAATAATAACAATTATTCGTGGAAGCTCTAAATTCTCTAGGCATTGTTATGTTTTTTGATCACGTGATCAAAGTACTGAGAGCACCTTACCTCGCAAGCGACAGTGCTTCTCCATGACAAGTGCTCACTGCTCACAGTACAAAAATGGCGGCGATTTATAACGTCATATATTTCTTTAGGGCACTGCGGCAGTTCTTTGGCAGTCCATAACGGAATTTTTTCACTAGTGAGTGCATGCTGCAGTGTACATCGGAACATGGCCCGTATTTAATAATTATCTATTGTCAGCGACTTTCATTGTTGCAAACAGATATTATAGGTACAAAAAACCTCGGTAAGAATTAAAGCGTCAACCCCATTGAATTTTTTGTTTATCAAAAATAGGCAATTTAAGCCGAACATGTTCGTAATTACATTTCTTTTATATGAGGGGGGACTAACGAGCATGCGGATCACCTGATGGCAACTGACCACAGAACAAGTGACTACCGCCACCCATGAACAACTTCAACACCAGGAGAATTGCAAATGCGTTACCGGCTTTTAAAAAAGAATAGGCTCTTTTCTTGAAGGTCCCTAAGTCGTATCGGTCCAGAAAAATCGCTGGTGGTAGTCGATTCCACAAGTAAGTTTTGCGAGGAAGAATAGAATACTTTTTATAAATCGTACAGTGAACGAATGAATGATTTTATTCAATATTGCTATAATACTTATTGAAAGTCATTTTTTATTTACCACTGATTCGGAAAAAAACCTCTGTCCTGGGAAGAACAAGCAAAAAAAACCAGCGGGACTTTTTTTTAAGCATATGTCACTTTACAATAATTTAGTTTCTACAATTTTTAAAGAACCAGCGTAGTGGCGATCACCTCATTCTTGGTTTTTTTTCATTTATGTATTCTTTGATATTATAGATCAATAGCTCGGTGACACGTTACACTCGTGGCGGCTGGCGGGCGGAATCGCTGACACGGTGACTTCGTCGCATCGTGGGAAATGGCAGGAAGGGAAGATGTAGAATATTTTTCAAATATATTTTTCTTATGTTGGTGAGTTAGACCCAGCTTGTGCGGGCTCCTGGTGGAAGCTGATCGTCGGCCAGACGGATGATTTCAGGACCAGGTGTGAGTGGAGCGGGCTCACGCTTTAGGGCGGAGGCTGATCGTCGTCCAAAATTGTGGTAGGCGCAGGCTTAGGCACGGCTAAGGCTTAATGTCGACCTTGGTGATTTCGGGGACCTCTGATTCGGATGCCAAAGTCTTTTATGACCTTCTGTTTGACATCCCACTTCTGACACCAATTTGTTAGGAGGCCGATCCCGTTTGACTTTTAAAAAAAAAGAAACACCGAATAAACCTAATGGTTTATTGCAAAAGTTCACACACCAAATTTAATAGTCCTTGACTTCCGAACTCTAATACGTCTCGGAATCTATGTCCGATCTACCCGGGCTCTAAGTCTAACTGATCATTAAAAATGGAATTAAAACGAACAT